TTATCGGGTTTCACACAAAATACCCCACCATACAAACAAACATACACACTACCTACCGAATCACGAATCATACTATTCAGAAATACATTATATATACACCACAAGCGCACACGTGCAAATACACACACACCTTCACAAAACACACACAGTATACACACGTATAACTATATACACATGCATACATAACTTTATACACACATTCACACACACACGCGCGTATACACAAAGAAAGATAAATATATACTATAGATACAAATATTATCAAGCAATACATTATCAAGCAATGCATGCGTGCGTGCATTCTTGCAAGCATGAATGAAATATCGGTAAAAAAACATATTTATACATGTGTATACACACCTTTATGTGAAGGAATAAAAATACACATAAATGTATACATTAGATGAAAATATATTTAAATACATATATAATAAGATAAATGCATACCAGTAAACACGCACGCAGGACAGTAGACTCTACATATACATATACGCACGGTAGCACACACCTACACACTCACACGAATACACACTCAAACACTCAATCACTCAAACACTCGCACACTCACCTCCAGCCTTTAGCTTCTCTCCAGGCTCATCTTAGTTTTTGCTGCTAAATTTTTATAATAAATACATATGTAATTAGTGAAAGTACTACCAGGTACAATCGTTACAAAGGAAATACAACGACTCTTTAGACGAGCGCGTAATAATATCTGTATATTGCAATGGAAATAAAGTCCATGCATTGATTGATCCTGGTTCAGAAATTTCATGTATATCCGACCGCTTTGTATTAATGAAAGACATTGAAAGGTGCACTCAAACTACTCACCTAATCTTAGCAGATGACAAAACTTCTAAGTGTCATACCATGGCCACAGATGTTAAAATCTCCCTGGCCGATGATAGAGATATCTCTACCCAAGCTGTAATAGTTAAGATGTCACCGAAGTACGACTTAATAGTCGGAATGAGTGACTTACTCACTCTAGGTATAACCGTAACTGGTTTACTAAATAACATAGATCCATTAAAGGATCAATCAGACGATAACTGTCTGAAACCATATAAGCCCCTGTCAGACACAGTCAAGTTATTAATACCTGACTTTGCGGACAAAATCATGGATCTCATTCTAGTAAATAAGAAGATAAAGATCTACCAGGGATACATAACCATTTACCGAATATGTTATCACGCTTCGTACCGGACTTTAATAA